CTCAGGAGTCGCTAAATGAAGTCAATAACGATGCAGAACTACTAAAACGTGTTATAACAGGTGACGAAATATGGGTTTACGGATATGATGTCGAAACTAAGGCTCAATCGTCCCAGTGGAGGCATTCTGGATCGCCAAGACCGAAAAAGGCTCGACAAGTGCGGTCGAATGTGAAGGTTATGCTCACTGTGTTCTTCGATTTTAATGGCATAGTGCATTATGAATTCTTGCCACAAGGTCAAACAATCAATAAGCAGTACTACCTACAAGTTCAACGTCGTTTGCGTGAAGCAATCCGAAAAAAACGCCCGGATTTGTGGCAAAACAATTCATGGCTTTTGCACCACGATAATGCGCCTGCTCACACTTCATTGCTTGTTCGTGAATTTTTGGCCAAAAACGAAACTGTAACGATGCCTCATCCTCCATATTCGCCAGATATGGCTCCATGTGACTTTTTTCTATTTCCAAAAATAAAGAGAATATTAAAAGGCCGTCGTTTTACAAGCATAGATGACATTAAAAGCGAATCGCTGAAAGAGCTAAAAGCTATTACCAAGATCGAGTTTCAAAAGTGTTTCGAGGATTGGAAAAAGCGTTGGCATAAGTGTATTGTATCCGAAGGGGACTACTTTGAAGGCGACAACATTAATGTAGATGAATAAATAAATATTTTTTTCATAAAACGAAAATTCTCGTTATTTTTTGAACACACCTCGTACATGTAGAAGAATCTAAATTTGAAAAAATGACTACAGATATATATATTTTCATCTAGTAACAATTAACGTCATTATAAATGAATTTACAAATGAGATTTTTTAATTGTAGATCTCTTCAAAATATTATTGAGGGAAGTATATTCCCTCAACAAGATTTCAATACCATGCTCTTACTTGACTCCTGGAGTGGTCATTGTGATAGAGTTATAGAAGAGACGACACCGAGTAATAAAATTATAAATGTCAAAATAATACCGACTACGACAACGGAAGAAATTCAACCACTTGATGTTTATGGATTTTTCATATACAAGAACTTTGTTTACAAAGTTCAGATACTGTAACATTGATGAATTATGACTTGAATTTATTTAAAAGAAATGAATTATTAAACTTCAGTCATTAGTCCATAATCAACTATCTTCACCAAGATATATCAATTTTTTTAAATACTCATGGTTCAGGAGTAGCTACATTACTGAAAAACCAGAACAATTTGACAATCCTACTACTTACAATTTTGGAGATTCCTGCAATACGCATTGTAAAATAGAAGGGTGCGAAAACGTGGCTATTATACGTTGTAGTTGATGCAAAAAATCATTGTTTCAAGCACTTTTATAACGGATATCATTATTGTAAGGAGTACAAACAATAAATAAATCCTAATATTCTTGACTTTTCTCATTGGAAACCGAATCTATTATAAGAAGTCCATTACCATTTTTATACATTAGAAAATTGTACACTTTACCCTTTACAAATTTTTTAAATTTTATTTCACAAAACATTGAATCATATCTATCAAAGAATTAATGCTATTTTGATATACATAAATATTTTCTGAGATTAAAATCCACAGTCGGCTTATATCAGTATAATACTTTACTATTTAGGTCAATTTTTTGAGGGTGACTTTTCCGTTATGAGAGTGGATTGAGCAATAGTTTCAAAGAAACCAACTCAATTTTTGTACATTGGGATGTAGATATTTTAGTTCTAACTTTTTTTTCAAAAATAATATACAATGTAATTCATAGCAAATTATCAAGAAGAATTTGTAGTATATCGAAAAATACTTTTTAGGGGTGGGTTTTTTATTATGAGAGTGGTTTGGAAGATAATATGAAACAGCTTAACTTAATTGTTGTATACCACGATATACGTATACCACGGTAATATATTATTCAATTTTTGTTGGATCATTTAAAATTTTTTTCATAATAGCCACAAAAAGATAGAAATTTTATTGAAAGAAATAGGGCTTGTAACCCAACCCCTTCATTGATAGAACTACATGCGTAAGTTGTATATTTACACTAGGAGTAGTACATAATTTAATTCATAGTAAATTATCACATAGAAATTGAAATATATCGTAAAATGGATTATGAGGGTGGTATTTTCATTTTGAGGGAGGTTTGAAAAATAATCTCGAAAAGGTCAAAGTTATTTTAGCATTCTATCCATGATAATATTTTTTGCAATTTTTGTTGGCTATTTTTTAAGTTTTTTTTTTTATAACAATAGTCATAAAAAGGGTTGAATTTTCATTAAAAAAATACGAGTTGCATCCCTTATGATCAAAACTGTAGGCATTAGTTTCGTATTCACGTTAGTATTCAAAAGAAACTTATTTCATCGTAAAATATTAACTAGAACCTCAGATATATTGCAAAATACTTTTTTGAGGATGTACGTTGTTTACTTTTTTTTTTATGAACTATAACATATCAAAAGATTATTTAAATCGGTGATCTCGAATTGGAGGGTTTCCTTGTAGGTAAAAAAGTCACAGAAGAGAGAGAAGTGATTCTAAAAATGAAAACTATTTTTACGTATTTTGGCGAATATTTTGAGAATATATTCACAACAACACCTATAAGTATAATATTATATTCAAAATTTTTCAAGTTACAGTAGGTATAATAATTGAAGCATCACGAGCATCTGTGAATTTGTTCACCATTTCTTATCGAGATAATTTAAAAGAAAATCGATCTCAAAGTTGAGCTCTTATACACAGTCTCTTATGAAAGAGACGGTATCAGAACACTTCATAACGGAAATAAACCGTGAAAAATGTATAAATTAAAAAAAATATAGTAATTGAAAGAAAAATTAATAAATTATATTTTTCTGTTTGAAGAACTGCATGGTACCGTCTATTTCAGCGAAATAACAACGATTAAAAATGAAACTTCTATAAGTTATTGAAAACTTGGGAAATACATAAATATTATATTACTAATAAATGGGAGACAATTTAATGAGATATGGCAATGTCTCAACACGACACACGTGCTATATACAATGTGGCTTATGAATCCATTTTTTGCAGGATCTCGAGAAATTTTAACTTTAATATGCTGCATACGTCTGTACTATGTTGCTGACATGAACTTGCCTTTCCACCTATTTTATTTATAAGATATTTATAAGGTATTTATAAGATATTTTTACTTATAAATTATAAATTCTCAACGAAAATAATTTAAAAAAGAACAACCGTTTGAGGTTATGCAGCTGCTTCGCACTCGTGTTTTTATGCTCTACCAGATGGTATACATACACGCATATACGAAAAAATATAGGCAACATGAGAAAACCAATTCTGAGCAGATGCAACGTTGCCACATCTTCACTTCATTTTGACACTGGTAATTATAAAAAAAATTAAAAATTAACCGATTAATAAATACTTCAACTATAGCTTGTTGAATAATAATCCATTTTGGGGTTTATGCGCTCAAGTATATGTATGAAAATAAAACAGGAACTTGATTTCATTTATATTAAATTAATAGCCTTGATTCTATCCAATGTTAAATGTTATCCAATATTAAATTAAAGCATATGCCCCTTTCTCCTTACCCCATGTCCTCTCGCGACTGTCCTTATCATCTTTAAACCAACTAAAATGTTATAGTAGATCCATTCAAAACGTACCTTTTTCTCGTTGATAACATTTATATTATTTCCAAAAATTATTTAACGAATATAAAATAATATTTTGTGTAGTTATGGAATACGTTTTAATTATGATAATTCGGGTATACTAAAATTCTTAAAAATTTAATACTAAAAATAATCTTATATTACATGCATGATAATCACAAAACCTTCTTGGCTTATTTTTTCAAGATTGACGCGGGTCGATTACATCAAACTTAGTCGATTAATAAATATTGATCTGTGACTAGTGTTTCTTATACATTAAGTACATGATAGTTGTGAAAATATTATTTTTCAAACCGAACCATTTTTATACACATATTTATTAAACATATTATTCGTGCGTTTTTATTTATTAATAAAGTAATTTAGTTTAGAAATAGCCAGGACATACGTATAGTTGTATTTATTGCTTAAGATCATTTAAGAATCAGTTACTGTACTTCAAAAAAAATTAAGCTGCTTTTTTCCTAAGTATATTCAGAGAAAAATATTTAAAACATTAATATATTTCACGAAGAAAATTTCGTAGATATTTTGTACAAAATTTCTACATTCATTTCTAGTGGGGCTTGTCACTTTTCTTGGATTGTATTGTTTGAATCATTCTAAGTTACCAAGCCTATTAGATGTATTTTTGTTCAAACTAAAAAGATAGTGACAAAGACACGGAGAGAGTGTGTGTGTGTGACAGAGTGAGAGTGTGCGTTTGTGATAGAAAAAGTTTAGTATGCTTTATTTTACCTTGAAATGGAACCCCATCTGGTGTGTTTGAAAATACAACAAAGTTTTAAGTTGTTCATTATTTACAACTTTTACAACTAATTTATCAAGATACACTTTTGATGGCCAGTCTTTCTACAATATAAAACCACGTTCTAAAAAATGTAATGTTTTCACTTTTTATACGACACTATACGAATGATTCATGGATTGGAAAATATTTAAAAATACAGTTTCAGTAGTGTGAGTCCTTTACATTAATCTATAACTAGACGAAAGATCAATGAGCCATAACAGCTCAACTTTTGCAAAATAAAAAATAACTAGAACTTCTAACTGTGTTACGGGGCCAAAATAAAGGATGTTTTTCTTTTTATCATGAAATAATGAACGCTTCATCAAGATTTATTTGAGTACTTTTATAATACTATGCAATGTAGTATACTGAATAAAACAAAATTCTGTAGAAACTTGAGCAAGTTACACTTATATTAATATTTCAAAAATAAAACTTGCACTGTAAATACAGTTTAAAATCGTCGATGGAGATGCAAGGGAAGTTAATCAACAGAGGTTACGTTAAGAGCTTGAAACACTTACCACCAGTCAAAAATATTAGGAGCAAATAAAACTGTATGAAACTGTAAATAGAGGTGAACTACATCACACAACACGATATCGTATATCAATGTAAATGAATGTATTTACTGAAAACACTTTTTACCGGCAGACTGAAAAAGATATAGAAAAGAAAAAAGGAATGAATGAGGGGGGGGGGGGGGAAGGAACGTGGCTGGGCTTACACGTCCACCAGTGTCTACTATCTAGTTGATGATTCACTTCTCGAAAGTTGAAGGACGTTGCAGATGTACGCCAAAATTGTCGTGGAGTGTTCACATTAACGCTGCTGCTTTATGCTTGCACTTGGCTCTTTTTACAAATTTTGGCAACACTGTATGGGTGACTATAAATGAAGCCGACGCCTGGATCTGACGTAAATGTTATTGACCGTACTAACGGAAGTAATCTAATCTGTTTTTTGTTTATTTTAAGTTTACAACACTCGTTGTGTTCGGAACATGTAAAGAAAAAGAGATAATGAAACAATTCGCCATTACTTGTGCTCTCAAGTTGTTGCTCTGAACTATATAAGCGGAAAAGCCCGCTGACAATATCACATACCTGAGGGCGACTGCATGACATCACTCCCGGCCAATGGCATATCATGAACTGGTGCGCCGACGCCAAACTATTTCACTACCAATATTCATTCTTCTGCTTCTCTCTCTCTCTCTCACACACACGCAGTCGCGCACACACTTTTACTCGTGATATAATTAAATATATATATATATATATATATATATATATATATATATATATATATATATACACTTGGTTTCGGTTGCTTAAGTTACGGACTGCTTGTTAAATATACAATCTCATATGAATCATCTTCCATTTAAATCACTTGCAATTTTAAATTTTGACATTTCATTGTTATTTATATTTCTTAATTACATTGCTTTACTTTTTATCAAAACTATTACAAACGTCGGATTATTTATTGCTAAATTTAAATAGGATTCGCCATAATTGAATGGAAGCTTTTTATTTGAAATTTCATATTTATTGCTAAAAACCTTTATCATAATTAGAAAAATATAAATAATAGTTATGATAGTGTAGTCACAAAACAATTTTAATATTTAATTTAATTTTCTAAAAAACTTTACAAGGATAACCTTGAGTTAGGAATATTGTAGAAATTACGTTTTATAATTAAGGATACCAGTGATGTCTAACACGCTTTCGCGCGCTCATTTTTTCCGTCTTTTTTTGCATTTATTTCCATACACGAATATAAATCAAAGTTATTATTGCTGACAATTTTATTGAACATTTGAAAAGTTTGTATGCATTAAATATTCCCTTGATATAATATTAGATATCCGACAATATTATTTCTAATAAATATGATGTTACGTAGATACTCATGATTAAAAAATGATATCAATGAAGTTTTAAGTTTTCATTATCCGATATTCTATGTTAAACAATTATAGTTCAAAAGTTTTAAAATAAAAAAATTTATTTTCAAAAGTTCAAACAAGTTAAAAAGGCCAATATAATTTCTACTATAAACATTATAGTTCTTTTAGTAGTAATTAACATATACTTTAGTATAGACGTTCATGGTTGTAATTAGTGTATTTTCAAAAAATGTTCTAATAGTTTACATAACTTAATAAAGCCATTGTACAATATTTTATCGTGACGATATATATCTTTTATTGCTTTTTTTGTTGATTCGTAGTTACACTTTGGCATAAAGTAAAGTTTAATTAATTTCTCTATTTAAATATCAGCCAGTTTTTCTAATGAGGTTAGTATGATTAAATCAATCAATTCGTATTAAATTAATGCCAACTATGTACCGATTTATTAAAATCTATTAAAGTCCAGTAAATACACTAAAAAATATGCCGATTTATTTTTGTAACATTTAATCATTTACTAAAATCTTTAGTAATCTTTCAGTAACGTACATAACATATAAATACTACCAAATAACAGCTGATCACATGATTATCTCTCAGCCAATTAGATCATGAAGAATGTGGCCTCACTTTGTTAGGTTCTCTTTTTTATTAAGAGGACTAGTGTTATTTATCGGTCTTCGAGTGCTCTTACTTTTATGTTTTACTTTTATTTATAACACTTATTTCGTCAAGCGTGCTTTGCGCGCTATTCTTTTATTTATTTTATTATAATTATTTAATTACACTTTAATCTCAGATTTATTAATATTTTCTAGCTCACTAAAAGTGCAGCTTCTCAGGTGCTTATATCTACATTATATATGCAGGGCACAATTTTTTCTTCCCTTTTTCGAATTATCTGACTATATTTGATTATTTCATAAATTTCTTTTAAATTCATAATTTATGCGTATATCCAGTACATCGGTACATATATTATTTTGATAAAATTATTCGACAATTATTTTGGTTAACTTTGCACAGTACTTCTCTAGCAAGATTATAAAACATTACTACTATTAAACAAGAAAATTGTTTAATTTTCATTTGTACAAATAAAAATGTTATAAAGTCAGTTTAGATATATTTTTTTTAATTTATGCATGAATAAAACGAAATTACTTTATATTGTTGTAAAAAAGAATCCAATTATCTCTAGTCTCTTCATTATTAATGATATTTACTCGATGCTAAATTTTATAGCGAAGAATTTTAATAAATTTTTAGCCACAGATCACTGTCGCAACCTTGACATTCCAAAGGTATACGTGATAGTATGAGCAGCTACGTTGCGATATAATATATTTAGCGATTAGGGCAGAAAGCGGAAGAATCGTGTATGATATTTTTCTTTATCCCCGCTTGAAAGTGCGCTTTCCGCGATGCATATCATCGTCTGGAATCGATAAAACAGCGTCAATTTTAGCCTATCGATCATCTTCGGCCATTGTTAAGAGCAGTGCAGAAAGTTTCGGACGTTGTGATGCGCGTGAATGCTTGGTCGACTGCCGCCAACATTGATATCCACGAGCGGAGCGAGTATATATTGTCAGTGGCAGCAGTCGATAAAACATTCACAAGTTTATATACATTACATAATTTCAGGATTTGTTGAATTAAAAAAAATAATATTTTATGTATTATAGTTTATTTATAGTTTTACTTATAGGTTACTTTTCCATTTATGATGAAAATTAAATTTTATTTATGATAATTTTGATTGCAATCATAATAATAGAATTGGTTTGTAATAGTAGTATTATTAAAAGTACAGTTATTGTAAATAATTGAAGTCTTTTTGTATTCAAACTATCTTATTTTGTATCTTTTTGAGTAAGTTTCACAGTGTTTTCTGTGTTATTTTTGAATCTCTTTGTAACTTTTTAAGAATCATCACTATTTTTGTTTTCAAATGAAAGTTTAATAGGAGATTTTGAGTAAAAAGGCTTTGAATAAATAGCATTGTCAGATGGATTATTATCAGATGACATTTTTAATTAACTACTATAGAAATAATCTACTACACTAAACGCCACAGTCGATTTTTGCGCTTTGGTAGGTTAAGTGCTTTCTGCACCGTTTTGTTTACTACGGCCTACTTCCACACTTCTCTCAATGAAAGGCGCGCGCGACTCGCTAACAGTGCAGTGAACTCTGATTCGAAAACTGATCAGAAAATTATTATTTTGAGGTTAGGTTTTCGTAATGCATATACATTTTGTTTAACATAATATTATTTGAAATCTTATTTTCTAATAATTTAGTTAATACATTATTTATCGACGAAAAATGAGCTATTATCTAACAACTTTAAAATGAAATTATATCTTTAGACATAATTCTTAAATTAAAATCTCAACTAAATGAAGTTTGAATTATCGCGTTATTATCTCATCACGAATAAATTAGTTTGACTTAATTAATCAGTATCAATTTTATATATAGCAATCGAAAGAAATCTTAATTTTTCAAATATCGAAATATCAAGAAATAAAAATATCTACAATCAAATTTTGGCGCTTTTTTTTGCATGAAACCATCACAATGTTGGTGATTGGCTACACATCATTTTTTTAAAGTAGAATTATTTGAACCTTCCATATGCCACCTTGGAGACTATAATGGATACGAATAAGACATACTGTTTAAAATAGACTAAATACATCAATATTCATTAATGAATAAAAATATGACTTTCACCTATTTTTTTACAAAAGACTATAAACTTTTACTCATTTCAAGATAAATTATCGAAAAGATGATTTTTAACCTACAATCGATAAAGTTATTATACTATTAAACAATTAATACTAAACTTTACATGTTTAATAGTAGTGATTATGGCTTTAATCATGTATTAGTATGAGCTTACGATTAACATCGTAATATTTTTATATTTAATTTCTGTTGCTTGCATATTCTTTAATTTACAATATGTAAAAGATAAAAATGTATGCTCTTCTATTATATTTTATTCATTTTCTTTCTCTTTCCACCAAATTCTTATAGGCAAATAATGTTCATTTTTGCAGATTATCATCTATGTTAATAACTCTTCAATTGAATTTACTGCTGAAATATAAATCTCACACTTTTATTATATTCTAGATATACAGGGTGTCTCAGACCACCCCCCAAAGTATGCTGAAAAAGTTTTTTTTTTCAAAAATTGATAACGCAATTATATATAAATCGAGTACGCTCTATCGATTGGACGTAAAATCAACTTCCGGATCCAACCGGAAATGGCCTATTCAGACCGGAAGTGCATGAAAATCCATTTTTTTAAATGGAACATGCTTACTTTTTTTCCGATTCAGATTCTACGGTAAAAAATACGAAAATTTTATAAGAAGAATTTTTTGAAAAAAAGTTGATATTTGACCTCTAACTGACGTCTAAAGTCTGTAATCCACCAGTTCGTACTCAAGCTACGAATATGCACGTTTTAACAATGGAATAGGATAATGTGGCTCCTCTAAGAGGTTTTCGGGGTCGCTGAGTCCGAATCCAAGGTGAGTTTGATCTTATCAGGTCATTTTGAGGTCAATTCAAGGTCATTTAGAGGTAAAACAAAAAAAAATATTAGATTTATCAAGAATGAAGTACTTTTAAAATTTTAGCCTTAATATTACAAAAATATGAATCTCGTCGTTTTTTCATTTATTCTTGTTATTATTAATCTATGTATTTACATAGCGTACTTTTATGAAATTAGGGGAAATGAAATTCCAAAACAAATTAGTTTAGCGAGATAAAAATCTTTATTCTCAAAACATAATAGATTTCGTTGCAGTAACAACATTTGTTTATAATAACATAAATAATGATAATTTGTTTTATTAGAACCTAACATAATGAAAATATTTATAACATAATTAGATTTTATCTTCTATTGTTCTGTAAATAAAATTTTTTTATGAATAACGCTGAAATAACTGTGCGAAAATAGACGGTGAAGATTTGACAAAAACTTTAATGTTCAAAATGCGCTCCGCCTTGAAAAATACATGCTTGAACTCTCCTTTGGAAATTATCAACAGCTCTTCTAATTTCTGCTGCCTGCAGCGACCGAATTGCATCCGTGATTCTGCCAATCATATTCATCAGAAAATACTATATTAGATAGAAAGTTGGGATTTTAAACTATGCGAGTCA